CCCCCCCCCACCCCGCCCCCCAACACAGAAATCAATATGCCTGGAAAAAAAAAGTGAGGCCGGATTTGGGCAGTACTCGGCAAGCCCATTAAACCCCTGTAAACCAAAAAAATAAAAATAAAAAAAATTCAGCGGACTGTTTTCATGCCCGGGGTACTCCGGGCGAGGTACCTACCCGGGCGAGGCTCCTGGGACGCCCGGCCGGGCACGCCCAGCCGAGCGCCCTGGGAAAGCTAGATTTTCGGTCAATTAGGTGTCCGTTGAGATCACCTATGGTCCGGGAGTTCACCGTTGTTAGTGAACTTCCCGGAAAGTTGCAGTTCTGAGGTAACGATTCCGAACAGTCGGCCAAACGAAAAAATAATTTCGGATAGTTAGGAAAGGAGAAAACACTTGAATTTTTGAGAAAACGTGAAATTTCAGGAATTTCGACCTAACAAAGTCCAATTTTCAGAAGGCCGAAGTCCGCATTCGAAAATTTACAATTAGGGAAAAAGAAAAAAATTCACGAAAATTTCGGATGTCAACCCTAATTTTCCGCGATTTCGTGGAATTTCCGGTTGTGTTTCCAAAAAAGAAAGTGGATTTCCCCCCCCAAAGTGAAAAACCGAAATTTTATCGCAACCCTAATTCAATACCGGATTAAAACAGAATACCGAATTAAAACAGAATACTGAATTAAAACCGAGTACCGAAAAAAGTAGAAATTTGCAACTTGAATTCCTATAGTAATGCAGAACTGATTTGGAAAAATAAATAATGCTAATTGAGCAATCTATGCCCTAATCAGAATTACCTTGTGAGCAGATCCATTTAATTGGTCTGCTCCGATACCAAAACCGTCGCATACTAGTGAATACTTCAACAAGTATGGGCAGAACCAAAGATCAACCAATATAGGATGAGCATGTATGCAGCGGAAGTCTGAGAAATGGACTGACTCACATAGGCTGACCTCATCCAGATATCACTCAACACACAAACAATTGAGATGGTGGGGTCTGAAGCCAATCATAGACGATGCTTCAGGCCCCGTACAACCATACACAGATGAAAGGTGGGAGGAGAGACGATGGAGGTGGGAGGTATAGGCAGCGCCAGATGTCACCGAGATAGAATCCAGAGGGTCACCGATATGGTGGTCCAAAATGTCACCAAACAAAGATCAGAATGTCGCGGACAATAAGTCACCAATGTCAGAGGCACAGAGTCCTAATGTAACCGGTGTCCAATCTGTGATACCGACGAGTATCAGCCCCAACCATCTCCAAGGTCTCGAATCTGGTAAGTATCACAGCTTCTTACCACCGAAGTCCAAACACTGATCTCTGTCCAACTCGTATCAAGTCTCCAATCTGAAGAAGAAGAAGAAGAAGAATGAGTCTGAAGAAGAAGAAGAAGAAGAAGAAGTCTAAAGAAGAGGAATAAGAGAATAGGAGAAGAAGACTGAGATGGAGAGGAGAGGTAGAGATGGGGGAGCTGGTGAGGGCCTCAGGCCGAACCTGCAGATGGCAAGCTGGCGTCTTGGCGGCGGCAGGAGATCTGCTGCAGGTCGCTGGAGCTATGGCGCTCCACGGTCTCAGGTAAGTCCTCCTCGCTCCTCCTGGACTGCAGTGCGCTAAACTAGCGCTGCAGTTCCTAGCGCTGTGCTCCACCGAAATAGCGCAGCGCTCCTCTGGCTGCTCCTCGTTCCAACCTATGATAATGGCCGCTGGACCGGCCTAAGTACCGTCCGCCGGCCGGTCCGCCCCGATGCTGCCCTCCTGCGCCGTGGGCTGAACCGTCGAAATGACCGTTCAGCTCAGACCGGCGGGCGGCAGCCTCAAGAGCGCCACCAGGCCCAAACAGTCATGTCGTTTGGGCCAGACCTGGTCTGCTAGGCGCTGAGGCTCCGACCGGTGGCCTAACAGGGCCTACCGGGGGAAAAGGCCTGACTTTTGGCGAGGCCGGCCTGGGTACCCCCCTGAACCGGTATGTCGGGCCTGTGAAGGCCCGTGTGAAGTCGCAGAATGTAACACCAGGGTTTTAGCACAGGCCATTTTGGGCCTGTTTTCAAGACAACCCTTGGTTGAGCTTCAACGCTAGGGTCTGGCACGTTTCGGCATTGGCAAGAGCAGCCTCCTGGACGGGCCAGCCCTAGGTACCTCAGGCTCTTCAGGCTCCAGGTAGTTCCTAGGTACTTCAACGCTAGGGTCTGGCCCTAGGACTGGCCGGCCCTTCAGGCTCCAGGTAGTTCCTAGGTACTTCCCAGGCACTTCACGTGCAGTTCAGGTGGCAGGAGGCAGTCTTCAGGATTTGGCAGCAGCACTCTGGAGGAGTGCTGCAAGAGCAGTAGTAGCGCTAGCAGTAGGCTTCAGCGCTGGGCGCTAGTAGCGTTAGCAGTAGTCTTCAGGGTTGGGCGCCATTAGGAGCTAGAGTAGTACTAGAGAGAGAGAGAGAGAGAGAGAGAGAGAGAGAGAGAGAGAGAGAGAGAGAGAGAAAGAGAGAGAGAGATTGGGCGGAGGCCAGGGAGACTCACCTTCACCATAGCTCCAGCTTCGTCTTCGAGGTATGTGGCATACTGTGCAGCCACACGGGCCTTGCAGGGCCCGTCCCGGACCTCCAGCCTGTTTCCCTACAGGGAAACTTCCAGGCTCTTGCCTGGAAGCTTCCTTCT